TTATAACATGTATAATATATTTATAGTTATACATACAAACTAATTATTGCTTTTTTAACATGTATAATATATTTATAGTTATACATACAAAGTAATTATTGTTAAATAAATAATGAAATTTGTTTTTATGGTTTGTGGATATCGTTGCCCCAAAGTACTTTCATCATGTTATAATAGCTCTTAAGTCAAAGCAGAAGGTTGTTTAAAAAAAAATCAAAGGAGAAGAAAACCTGCCTTTTTAGGATATTCGAAATTTATGAAATAATAGTAATATAGACATTAAATTTATCTATAAAATTTTGTGTATCATTACTATATTTTTCTCTCTCTCTTATTGACAAGTCATATCATTTATATAACAATAATATATTCATCAGCCACTCAATCTAAATTCTATTCACTCATTGTACGTAAGAATCTTTACCTTTTCGATTAACCATCCAATTTTTTTATCAACACAATTGCCATCAGGGGTGGAGCTGTTTGATACAAGGGGGTCACTTGACCCCTGCAATTTTCATAAAATTTCATTTATGAGCTTAATTATATGGTATTTGGTAGTTGATTTAGTTTGAAATATTAAAGTTGACCGCTTGACCAAAGTTTAAATCTTATCTTTGCACTCCCCCCCCCCTTTGTTATATTTTTTTTCCTTCTATAGGCATACACTATACCTCTTTCCGTGTTTTTATATATCTACTTTTATTCTTCTTTTCGTTCATAGATATTAAATCTTTCTTAATATATAAATCTAGGCAACTATTTTTGTTTTCTTTTTTAATATTTTTTACACCAAAAAGAACTTGAATTTATATGGAAACAACAGTTAACTTATTAATCTAATATCATCTATATATTTAGATAAATAAATTTTGTGGAATGATACCATTTTTCCTCACAGTATTTTCAAAAAACATTTTGAACTACGAAATGATAAATAACATAAGACAACTTGTATATTTTATTGAGAAATTTTGAGATACGCCACTTTCTACATGCCATTTTTCAAAAATGCCACTTTTTAAAAACTCTTGCAAGCGTGCCACTCTTTTTGGTCAATATTCTCATATTATCCTTTGACTCATTAAACTTAATTTTTTCAGATATGAATGTGGATTTTGTTAAGAACATAGATCTGATCTCATTGTCTTTGATTTCGTCGTTGTTGTTGAGGAAGAACATGGATCTGAGATAGGTTTAAAAAAAATAGATCTGAGAATTGGATCCGATGGATTTT